GGGGGGGGTTACTATCCTACAGAAAGAACAAATTCAGTGATATTAAGGATTTCAAACTAGGTGATCAAGCTTATATACACAAAAATATCATTTCATATATTTAAAATTAATGATGGCTTAAATTTTACACAAATATTCCCCTACCAGACGTTAATGCTCAGTGTGCCACATATGCCACATCTAATATGGGTCACCTCCCTTAGACCATTCACCTGATACCCAGTGTGCTATATATGGAACATGCCTGTTTCAACAGGCCTAGATCCTAGAATACACACTATATTGACTTCTTTGGACAGATATATAGTTTAAACTTGCAGCCAAGCAATAACTTTATGTGACTTACCTTAGAGATGTGGAAATTCAAGATTAAGCAAAATCAATTTTTATTAAAATGGAAAGCAAGTCAAAGTGGAAAACAGAAGGCACAAAGCAACTCCCGAGAAGTTCATACGGATGTTGCAATGAGTCTTATTTCTATAGAAGAAGTTCTAGTCCAATTGGGAAGACTAAATTATTAGATATCATCGTTTAAAATCTATGTACCATATATTGCACGTCTAGTTCTAGAGGGTTAACTCCCAGCAGTTTTGCCTATTTTGCCTTTTTCATTTATGTTTCAGGGGTCCTCCAAACCCTCAAACCTCATGCAATAATCTGTTTACTCCAGACAGACATGTTAAATATCAATGGTAAGGAAATTGGATGGTCCTTCAGACTTACCCAATAGATTTCATTTTTTGTCAAGCTGTTTTGAAGTGGGACCTTTTTCTCTTGAAACAAAAACAGAAATCACACTTTTCCAACGGTCACAAAGAAGGGGAAAAAAGTGTTTGAGAATTTAGAGTATACAATTATTTCCTGGAAAAGTACATTCACTTTTGCACATTATGTGTCAAAGATACACCATTCTGTTGGAAAATGAAGAAATGAAAGCCTTTCTAGTACATTCTACAATTCCTAGTTATTGCCCTTGAATATGGAAATTTCATATCATGACTTTTTGCTCTCAAGCCTCCTGCAATAATCTGTCTGTCCCAGATAGACATATCATAAACCAGTAGAAAGGGAATTAGATGGTCTTCCAGACCAAGCCAATAGATTTCATATTTGTCAAGCTCTCTTGAGGTGTGACATATTTTTCGTGTTACGAAAAATAGATGCAGAAACAGAAATCGGACTGCCCCAACAATCACAGAGAAGAAAAAAATATATTTTACAATTTAGAGTTTACATTAATTTGATGAAAAAGTACATTCTATTCTGCATGTAATTTGTAAAAGACAACTCATTCTGTTGAAAAATAAAGAAATGAGGGCCGTTCTTGTGCATTCTACAAATTTCCGGTTGTTGCCCTTGAAACTGGAAATTTCATAGCGAGAATTTTAAAATAAAACCATCAATTTTTATACCTGTGTTATATTTTTTAGTTAATTTAGTCATTTGTATTTGATAAAAATGCCTTGGGGAATCTTTATTTATAAAAGTAAATGTATTTTGTGGGCGAAATACCACATCACCAGCCATTGTGTATATTTATACGATATAGTACTGCATGAACTGCTGGGAGTTTAAGGACTCCTTGTTTGGGAACTGAAATATAGAGTGTTTTTATTTTGTTAACATTTTTAAGTTTGTTTGTTTTTTGTTTTTGTTTTGTTTTTGTTTTTTTCTTGCCTTCCTTTCTTGGATGAGTTTGCCTTTGGAAAAAAAGACAAATTTTTAGTAAAGTTCTGTAAAACATGAATATATAAATCACTTTAAGTTATATTATTGCTGTTACGTAATCAGGTGTACTTGGCGCATTATGTGTAAATCCGGGGAAGATAAATTAAGAGTATTGTATTGATTGTTGTGCGGAATATATCTTGATGTCCTACTGTAAGTGAGACATGAGACACGCCCAACTCTGTCTTACCCGCTGGTCATCTTTGCCCAGGTTCTATGGGCTCCACAGACTCTGCAAGCCCCACAGGCAGCGTGCGTGGCTTCAAGGGCCACTACTCCTCTGAGAATGACTCTGGTCACAGCAGCATTGGCTCCAATGTGTCACCACCCCAGCACCGCCGCTTGACCGCTCCCGCTGGACCTGTATACTGCCCAGTGCCAGGTACAGGAGGCTTTCAATATTCTAGGGAACATTCGACTTTTGCAGAGTTTCTTGAAATCTCTGCCTTGCAAGATGATAAAACAGGAAATGGAAAACCTTTTTAAGTGGTACTCTTTGTAGTTCCCCATATCTGCGTGCATATATACTTATATTATTGGTTAACAATTGAAACAAAGTTACAGAAATCGTACTAAGCTTAGGTGTTTTCTTGTTCTTTAGGGTAAAATTTCAACTGGGGTTTGAAGTTCAATTAAAGCTTATTCTAGTTAATATTTGATACTCAATTGGTGTTTGAGTGACAGGTATCCTAGATGACAACCTAGTCCAAAGCTGCATGAAGTTATCAGAAAACAGGAGGAAAACTTGTGTTATTGTCTCTTCTTTTCTTTCTCTGTCTTCCTGATGGGGCTTTGAAAAGTCTAATATGAGGAAAAAACTTATGACATATTTTTTTTCTTTGTCTCTCCTCCACCGCCTTCTCATCCTCATCACCCTCTTCCTCCATGTCCTCTTACCTTTTAAGTGTAAAGATGGCATGGTTTGAGTGTGGACTTTTTAGTGCATGGCCTGGAAGTGCCTCGTGTTTCTGCACTCTGATGATGTCGTCGGTTTAGATACTCCATACGCCCTAGGGCAGTGCCACTGACTGCAGTGTCTTCAGGCCATTCCCAAAGGGGGGACATTTCTCGTTCAAGCACAGTAGAATTGTAAATGGGCTGATTCATCTTGTCACGCTCATAACTGTGCCTGATCTACAACAGGGAACTGCTGCTTTTTCTTTCCTAATCCTTACTGTTGTCTTTTTCCTGTACTTCTTTTGTATGTTTGTCACACTCTTTTGACACGCTATTTCCGGGGTGCCTTGATAGTCGAAGCAGACCTTGTGCTGTTGAAGCTAGAGAGGTGAGCAGAGTAAGTCTGATTCCCTGTAAAGACTTCTCTGTTGACACCCATCCCTTGGTGCTCATATGACCTTATGCAGTTGCGAGCGCCGTAAAACCCTCTACTGAAAAGATTAAAAATAAATACTCCATTTGCAGGAAGTTGGTACTATAATATGGTCAGAATTTGTCCCTGATCTGTCCAATGGGTCATTATTAATATCATGCTGAACTTTGATGCTGGTAACCCTGAGTTGAACCGCAGACAGGACTTCCTTATGCTTAGTTTGGACCTTTCAATGATCGACCTGAAATTCTATTTGTTGATTCAGTTGTGAAATAATCAAGTACAATTCTGTAACTTTTACTCAAATCATTGATTTGAGATTAAACGCTGTAGAACTGAGTGAGAAAAATAGAGAATTTGATCTAAACTGGCTCTTTGAGTCAAGGTACTTCTTATTGTTTGGGAAGTGAATGAAATCTTATGGGCTCTGCTTTCTGTGGTTGAACATTATATTTTACTGCCTCTGTTAAAAATCATGGTTCTATACGCATGAAAGTAAGGTAGGGTCACTTGAAGTTGGGTACACTGTCATAAAAAGATGTGGGTTAGAACGAAAATTTGTTACAATTGTGAAAAGTTTTGTTTTTTTCTGGAAGTGGAACTCAAACATTGTACTGACCTTTCTTTGATGGATGTACCCACTGGATCCACTTCAAATATCTTCATGTAAACTCTTCTTTATTCCTCAATATACTTGATCTTGTTTCTGTTTTATTACATTTCTCTTGAAAAAAGTTAAAGTAAATCTTTTTCAGAGAGACTGTTAAAATTAGTCGCCATCAGAGAGCCAAGGATGACTATTTCCATTGTGGCTGAAATACCTAAAATAGCAAAATTGAAGCATTCAAATGACATTCTGTCATGTATCATATGTAAATATTACAGATTTGCCACTGGCAATTTCCAATGAGTTCATATCCAAGTATTTCTAAAACACACAGTGCTGTAAAAATCTCTGTCTCGAACCAAGGAATTTCGACATTGCCTCTGGCTCTCACCTGACAAAATTTTCCTTTAATTGTTAAAAAGGCTGCCCTGTTCTCTTTAGATGTAGACAACTTTACTGATTAAAGAATCAACATTTTTAAAATTGAAGTCTCAGTCACTCACAGTTTACAACATGATTTCTAAAAATTATTATTATGATCTCCCCCCTGTAGGCCAGCCCCCTCACTTCAGGCCTCCCCTCCCATCGTACAGTACAGTCATGCACAACTCTGCGGCAGCCATGTCAGCCCCTGTCGGTAAGTCCATCTGTAAGGGAAAGTGCTTTGATCTTATCGGGGGGGGGTGTTTAAACAGTAGAAAAAAATTTTCTCTGCAAGGGAAATTTTGGGTTGCAGTATTATGTGTATACAATGACATACATAAACTGAGAGGTGATATCAATGTCTAATTGTTCAATGTGGCTCAAGTAAGAACAGTATCACAAAGAGGCAATTACCCTTTGCCACTGTGCATAGCCCTGTTTTAGAGGAAGAGGAATTGTGTCTTACTGACACCCAATGATGTCCCACTTAAAAGTTCCATCATTGTCCTTGCTTGACATGTTGGTCAGTCCACCTCTGGAGACCCTCGGCATCCAACACTAAAAAAGTTGCTGAAGGCTGCCTTCAGATTCCGGATTAGTGTTTAAAGTTCCTCATATCAGGATGTGAACATCTTGTTAGGCTTAGGGTCCCACTTGCGAGGAGCAGACCAAGATCAAGTCAAAGATGAAATACAAAAACAGCAGGCGCTTCTTGTCCCAAAGATATGGCATGTCAGGTTTACTTGAAAAACGAGATCTGTTTATTTTTTCCTCCTCAGTGTCCAACTACGCCTCACATCCTGGCTTCCCCGTGGGTAGACGGCCTCCACTTCCGGATTACCAGGCAGCCACCAATATGGCGCAAATGGCGCGTCGACAGCAGCAGCAACAACAGATGCGAGCATACTCACACGACACTGGTGTCTACATAGGTGTGGGTCATGGGCCAGTGGCCGCAGCCGACAGTGACTATGATACTCCCCCAGTCGAAGGCAAGTCGGAGCAGGGTTTTATCTCTGTTACAATGGGTTTTTATCTCTCTGACTGTGGGTCACCAAGTGTCTTTTTTTTCTTGGGACAGTCCCTCTGTCTTTCGCACACCATCACTGCCATGCAAAATCGTTTTTTCTTTACTCCATCATCCCCCCATTCCCCGTCAAAGATATATCCGTAGTGAAGGTATAAATGTAAATTTTCGTCCTCTTGCTGGCAATTTTATCTGTTTTTACTGACTTTGTGTCTAACAGGAGCCTAATTTTTCATTCGTTAGGTGGAAGGGGTTTGTTTCCCAGACAGGTTGGTGCAGGGGCAGAAAAGGGTCCCAAGAGTATTAATTCTCTTTTTGAACACGTGTACTTGCAAGCTGTGTCAACAGCCTTATCCCTAAACATTGTCACCCTCAAGTGATTTTACTGCTCATGTGTGATGCTGTTAGATGTCTCACAAAAGATTTTCCAAATTTGGGAAATCCGGACCAGTCTGGACTGTTTATTTCTTGTATTACAATTTTTTTCTGAAATACAAGAGGTTCATAAGTGTAGAGACAGAGTGCTTTCAGCATTGTTGGTGGATAACACAGGCTGTCTTTCTGTAGTTTTCAAGCTTTTGATAACTAGGATAGATGAGATCTAATAATAGGTTTTCCATGCAGTTTAACAATGTATAGGAGGGAGAATTTTATCAGCTTGTACCTTTTTGTATTACTTGAAAACTTTTTCTCTAAAACTAACTCCTTAAGATTCGAGTTACTTTTGTGGAACCAGTTGTTCTATATTTGAAATGACCTACAATGTATTATGTAAGGCATCACATTTTTGCTTTTGAATATCAACTTATATTTTTTTAATGAAAGAATTATGAAGTGTTGGGTTGTTTTTTCTTCTCTAAATTACAGGTGGCGAAGAAGAGCAAGTCTCAGCAGTATAGCAGAGGACACTCAAAGCTTGTTCATTGTCTCAGTAACTACTTCCATACAGTCCAGAGATGCCGTCCACCACTGCCTGAAGGGCCGGAACTCTTCTTGTACTGGAAGTTCCGAATACTCACAGGGTGTACAGAACACTGAGTAGTCTCTGCCACACTCCGCTGATCACAACTTCCCACCCACAAACAGATGGCGTGCTCTTACTGCACTGGGCTCTTCCCCTCTCCGACAACGATGGAGCACATTTCCATTCGCTTTTTAAAAATCCTTCCTGCTCTCGTCAACTCCCGGATAATATGGGGACTTGTTGCACATTTAAACCACAAACGTTTGACTTGTTCTGTTCCCTGTTCTGAGTGGTTTCTTCACAAGTTGCATCTCCCTCCACCTCCTGGAAGACGACATACCCGAGGGGCAGAAAAGTTCTGCTTTGTACAGCCACTTATTTATTCTGAAAGGAGAGAGTAAATTGAGTTTTGCTGCTTATTGCAGCCGGTTTCATAAACACACACGAGAGGAATACACTTATGGCATTGTTGCTGCGATCACCGTTCCACCGTTTACATCTGCAGTGCAGGAGGAGGTTCTCCCCTTTCCCTCGTCCCCAACATCCTCTTTGATGCAGCAGATGAAAGACAGTCTTTTCAGCTGTGTGTTTCTCCGGTGTTCAGACTTTTTGTAGTCCAGACTTATTTCTGAATGGCATTTTCTGATGGAGTGACACACATACACACACACACATATCAATCGTGCTATCTCAGCAAGGGCAAATTTTGTGTTTGTTCTCAAGGGATCTATAATGTGATGCCCTTGGTCAAATTGTTTCATGTTTGTCAGGGTCTCTACCCCCCTCCCCCCACCCCAAGTTTCCAGATTGTGAATGGATAAGTGTTTGAAAAATGTCAAGTTGCAACTGTGTGACCAAATTTATGGACTTTGTATTTTATCTTTTTAGCATTTTTACTGCTCATTTCCAGTCAGGTCTGAGTCATGAGTGAACTGTCAATAGTTACTATAATAGGAGCCCGGAAATTGAAATCAAATTTAGAACTTCATTCAGACTTATTTCAATGGCAATGGACCCAAATGCTGTTTTGTGGTCTGTAACAAACTCAACTAATGCACAAATGGTTAAAGTGATCAGGGATCTGCACGTAGGCAACAATGTGGGAAAATTTAGTAAGATTACTGTTCTGTGATATGCTTCAAGCCTTGATATAATTGGAAAAGATTTTTTTGTGATCACTTTTCATGACTTATATAGATAGTTACTGAGTTTGGTATCTTTTATTAGCAATGACCACTCTTCATTTTTTTCTTTTTTTTTTTCAGGTTCAGTTAAGTTAATACTGCCTATTATTTTTAGTACCTTTGTACTGACCCTATAGATTTTAAGAAATCATTAAGTATTTCAAAAATGCTTCAATCAAGTTATCAGAGATAATTAGTCTTACTTCTTTCATTGTTACCTTGCTCCATATTTGTGATAAGAGCCTTTTATGATCAAAAGTGTGCCAAAAACATCTCTGCAGTGTCAAGTAAACTTGCAGTTAGTTTTGCTTTTTCTCCTTCTCATGACACATCATGGACAGAAGGGCCCAGGCCATGTCACAGAGTCAGAAAAACGAGGGGAATAAAAAGAGAGCAGGAAAGTCCCATTTTAAACATCTTTTTTGGAAATTTGTCACGCAGTGGTGCCTACAAAGACTTGCAAATGGTACAAAGGACAGTTCACATACGTGGAGAAAGGATTAATCAACAAAAGTGATACCATCCATTACTTGTTGCTACAGAGGTGTGGTTTGTAACTTTTGCTGTCTATGTTCCGAAAATGGTCACAATTTTAATGTTTCCTCTGTGGTCAGTCTGTTACAGTTTGGACTGACATGTTTTAATTTGAGTTGGACTTCCTCCTTCCGGACACATGTGATACTTCCAGTTGTCATGTAGTGCTGTATTGTCTTGCTTAGGTCTGTTAGTATTGTTGTTTGAACCTTTTCAAATGAAGTGCATGAGGTGAATATCTTGAATTTTGTACAGAGATTATATACAGCACATTTAAACACAATGGTTATGTGCATGGCTGCTGTGACTGCTTGTCATGAGAGATTTGTTTCGAGTATACATCTGCCAGTGCAATTTTAACACAGTGTGCAACTTGGTCATCCATCTTTCCCCATTGTAGCTTCTTTGGCAGTTGATCAGACTGTGTATCCAGTGTTGTCTTTTCCCCTGGGGGGCGAGCAGCTGCTTGGTGCAATGTCATACAGACTCATGATGGAACCTGCCCCTCAAGATATTCTTTCTTTTTTCTCTCTTCGCAAAGGATTATACATTCAGTTAATCTGGTTTGTTGACGTTCTGCTTAAGTATGGGATTGAGGATGAGATATTGTTATGATTGTTTGTCTTGTCATTAAAATTGTAATCTTAGAAAGTGATATTCAGCTCTTACATGTACTTTTTGAACCCTACAGTCATTTGAGGAAGCAAGGCAAATAACAGCCAGTTCGTCTTTCATGTCAGGGCAGTTGGGATGGGTTGGCATTAGGATGTAAAATACTCCTGGCTTTATTCTAATTTGCATAGAAAATTAATTATAAATTTCTTCCAATGAAACACTATATCTTATCTTTAGAATGGTCATGACTGCTCAGGTGTGACTCAAACCTGTAAGGAATTCTTGGGTGCTTAAGTGTAGTATTTCTCTTCTGTATTTTTTTGTGTTTCACTATTATGCACATTTGTCAAAAACCTTGGTTTAAATGATGCTGCTGGTTATTGGGTCAGTGATTGATTGTCTTGCTGGGGTAGATGTTCCTGATGTGTGCCAGGTTGCTGGTAACTCCCCTTTGTTTTCTTCCTTTCTCTCTCTCTCTCTCTCTCTCTCTCTCTCTCTCTCTCTCTCTCTCTCTCTCTCTCTCTCTCTCTCTCTCTCTCTCTCTCTCTCCCCCTCTCACTTTCACTCTCCCTCTCTCTCTCTCCCTCTCTCTCTCTCTCTCTCTCACTCTCCCTCTCCCTCTCCCTCTCTCTCTCTCTCTCTCTCTCTCTCTCTCTCTCTCTCTCTCTCTCTCTCTCTCTCTCTCTCTCGCAACTGCATAAACAATTCTTCTATACTAGCGCATGATTGAGCAGAGCTGTAGCCTTTTATAAGGTGTGTTTTAGATATTCGTAGACAAGGTCCTTGATGGAGGCTGTGACTACATTTTTATGCTTTAAAAAGTTAGAAATATTTTAAGAGTATGTAATGAATCTCCATGCTACTTCCATGGCCTCTTTTATTCATTTTGTCATAAATCTTTTTTTTCCTGGTTCATCTTTCTAATATTTTCTATTTTTGCTTTTGTCCATGACTCACTCTTTAAAGAAAAAGGTCTGTCGTGGAAAGAACAGCTGCCATGACAATTAGTAATTAGGCTCCACTTTAATATAAGCACACTCAACCGCAAGTCGTTACAATAAGTACTCTTTGGACAACACAGCAACAAGTTGAAATAATAATGGTGCTATGTCTATATGTACAAGACGTGTAAAGAACAAGCTCGGAAGGATTAATGCCCTATACAAGTCGTATATTTATATATATATATATATATATTTAGATAGAGAGAGAGAAAAGCGTATATGTGTTTGTGTTAAAATTTCTGCTGTCTGTGTAGGATGTTGATCTCCAAAGCTGCTGTGTAAACTTTGCCACAACGGCTTTCAATACAAGCATTACTGGTCGTGTGTTGCCTGTATTTTCTTCCCTCTTGGTGAGTGATAGAAATGGAATAATATGAATAATATGCACTTCTTTGTACCCTTTTTGCAGTCCTATTATGTAATGTGACGTATGATTATCCTCGAGACAGCTGTCAGCATAGTCTAGGTCTGATGATAAAGTGTTTTCTTTCTGATGACCCAACGGGTCATTATTGTCTTACTTCTGGTCCAAAATCACACCTGCATAACACCCCCCCCACCTGTAAGGTCAAGAGCCCTTAGGGATTGGACAATAACACACCAGGTGATTGAACAGATTAAACCTCCTGACTTTATACCTTTGAGCAGTAACCATGCTGGTGTGTGTGGAGGACACTTTCAGTTTGGTCTGAGCTAGAGAAACAGTTCACGTTTACTCTATGTCATTGGTTTTCACACCTCTACTGGTGTTTTTCTCCTCTGCACCTTATCGGTTTGTGTACATTTTGGGAAATGTGGTCTCAAAGTAGGGAAGCTTCTATCTTATGGTTTGGCAGTTAAATTGAGTATGAATTTATATATTTGCAGGTGGTATGAGAATGTACATCTTTACCCTCACTCTATTGTCTCTGTCTGACTGTCTAGCCTTTTCTCAGCACAAAGTGGCCCTTATTGTGCCGCTGTGCTTCTTTATAACTCAAACAAATAATGTGTTTCACATTTCTTTTGATACACAAGGTTTGCTCATGCTGGGATGCTGTGATGTGCTGATTCTCAGAGCAATATATGTCAGCCAGTGCTTTCTGTGTCGTGCTTTTTAGGGTTTTGTAGAATGTACATCTGTATTTATCTCTTTAACTGTATATAATAGTTTAGAATAGCTGTCTGATGGGGAAACAGCTCAGCTATTTCCATGTTACATTTGTATAGTTTTCATTTTAAATCTTGTCAAGATAAAAATGAACTTGTCATCATTGTGCACCTGTACAACGGTGTAATTTTTAATAATTGTTAGGGAGATGCATTCTCGCGTTCATTACACGGCTTTGTGTAGACTGTGTGTCATGTGTGTGTGTTTATATTTCTATGGTGAGTGTATTTGTGTACACTTGTGCTAACATTGCAGAAACGTTTATACCTTGCTCACAATACAAATTCAAATGCTCCTGTACACCGTCATGCTCGCACAAGTATACACACTAGCATACTCACAAACATACACTTACAAATACACACACAGACACATACCCACACTTACCCAGCACTGTATATATTTCTCTTCACCACTTGTTTGGCACTAAATATGATATTGACAGTTGTTGTGAGTAACAATCCGAGGTGCTTTTTCTGACAATGACTGCTTGCCATATTTGTGAGGAATGAGATTTGCTGTCCGGTTGGACCAAGCATTGATGACTGAAGAGCTGACACTTTAATTTTTTTTTCTTTCAAGGCCACATTGCTCTTTTAGCCTTCTACACACAGGGTCACAGACACTATATTCAAAGAAATTTCTTCGTATGACTGCAAGTGAAACAACAGGGGACCAATAGCACTGACATGGTGTACCCATTTCTACGTGGAATCATGTCTTTTATCATGAGAAAGGTGAAATTATCTTTTTTTTTTTTCTAATTCTCCTTTACCTATATTGCGACATTGTTTAGTCTTTGCAGTTTTTGGGGGGCTGTTTATTTTCTAACCCTTATTACTCAACCCTGTAGAAAAATTTTGCTTACAACTAAAGACTTATTCTTTTCAGATATTTTGTATTTAAACAATAAAAGCTCAGATTCAAAAACAGCATTTGTTTTTATGAACAGCAGAATTGGGTTTTTAAGCTTCCCAATATACTGCACACCTGTTGCAATCCCTTCTTTGAACCTGGTAGTCTTGAAGAGATAGGTCAATGAGAACTGATCTGTAACAGAAGAACTTCCCAGAGACAGATCTTTTTTAGTGGTTGGAATTATAGGTGACGGTTTTATTATTATTTTTTAGTATTCAGAGTAATTGCGATCGAGTTCCTAATTTAAGTCCTACTAAAGATTGCGGGATGAGAGAACTCTTCAAAGATGGGTTGTGGAGGAGTGTAGGAAGGAGTTTCTTGTGTCAGGGGATATGACGACAACGGCTATAAATAATACAGGCTTGTGAATAGAAGAGATTTCTTTATATGTTGGTCTGTCAGGTGCGCATATTTTGGATATAAAAGCAATTTATTTTGTGATTGCTAACCAGCTCAAAGGGAGGAAAGAAAATGTGTGCTCTCTGATGTCAAAATATTTTCATGAAATCCACTCCTCCTGAGTGATGGTTTGGAAGTAGACATCTGACAGTTTGTAGGAAGAGGGATGAATGGTGGTATTATTTTATGTGTCTCCTCTCTTCCCTGCCCTCCCCCACTCACACATGAAAAAGCCCTGTCTAATGGTGCTAGATGCCTTACCGTTTTCCCCATGTGTATTTGTCTACCCCTGATATGGTGAGTGTATCAGAGCAATAGTGAGTTTTGTAACCAGACTGAATGAGAATTTTATTTCAAGACATCAAAACTTTGAAGTCAGTTCAATTATTTTTGTATTTTGTACCCCACTTTTCTCTCTTGAAAACTTTTTTGAATGAGTTGCTAGTGATCAGGCAAAGAATTAGCGATTGTCAATCATAAGCCCTTTAGTGGTACTGGTAAAATCATGAACTAAGTAAAGGCCTAAGGTGCACAATACTTCCATGTTTTCTTTGTTTTAAATGAGACAAGAATATTCACAAATCTTGTTTCCACAGATTTTGAGCACCTCTGCTTCCCTTCTCTTGCTGCTTTTGTACAGTGGGGTTTCCCTCTGTCTCTTTAAAACGGGTTTTTCAGTGTGTCACATTGAAGTGCATGCTTTATTTGTAATTTATGACTGGGTGTCTGTGTTCAGAATGATTTCTATTCGATAGTTGTTATGACTGTAAATTTGTTTGCTCGCTTGTCATGGTCCATGTTGGACCTAGTGCTAGACTTTGTGGAGTACATGAATTTGTATACAGTGAAATGTTCACCTTTTTAATAAATGTCATGTTTCATGTCTGGTGATGACCTCCTCATTTCTCATTATGGTGAAACTGAACAAGACATAGAAAAAAACATGTTTGCACAATGGCATAACGGCCTAGCTTCAGCTAAAACATTATTTCAGTTTGTGAGTGCTCACATTTTGCTCTCTCGTTCACTCAAATCATAGATCTCTGGTCTCATCAATAACCAAAGGTCAAATGTGGCGCTAGTAGAATTGCCAGCTCAAGTCTTGCTGGAGAGACTCTCACAGAAATCATCATTCACCAGTCGTTCCCTCTGCTGGCAGGGGGCTCTAAAAGAAGCAGACTTAAGATGTGATTTTTACTTTTGAACGTCAAGACTTATTTTATAGTATTTTGTACCTTTCATTCATCACAAGTTCTCTTTGGATTTGTAGTAGGTTTGTTTTTGTATCTTTACAGCGCACAGGACATTAAGATTTTACCTCAGTGAATTGTTTCCTGAGACCCGTACAGTCAAGGGGAGCTTGTCTTCTGTTTGGACCTGGTTTTTGTCTGTTCTTTTTTTTAAGAATGAGAAGAAAAAAAGTATCCTTAAGTTTAGGACTGTTTTGTTATTTTAAGTTCAAGTTCACTGTGTTCTTCTTTTGACCTGAAAACAAGGGTGTAAAAGTTTGTCTGTTCTTACACAAGGAATGGACAGTTGACCAGTATCTCTTGAGCATGCAGCCTCTGTTTATATGACTATAACATCATATAGATTAGCATTTTTCAGCACTCTCATAACACTAACAAAGCAAGCTTTGTAAATACATTATAGTATGTGTGGCATTTGCTAAATATAGGGGCAGAGGGAGTTGTGGCATGAAACATCGTGCAGAGAATGTTCCAGTGAATCTCTTTTTGGACTTTGAAGAGGTTTTTTTTACAGCAAAGTGAGTTACCTCTGAAAGTAGAAAAGATTCTGTTTCAATGAAGTAGATCTACCTTCAGAATCAAATAGATTTATTTGTGAATCTGTGAAAAATGTTAACCATAAATTTTGTCTCTCTTGTGCTTTTATGCATAATATTCACCCCCAGCACCCTTATTTTGGGGAGAGTAGGGGGGAATACTAGCTTGCTTGCTGAAAAAAGTTGAAGCTCGTAAATTTTTTCACAAAGAAGTAACAGTTGCTTTTCCTATCAGATATTTATAAACTACACTGTGAACT